AATCATTGTTGCAACCGACAAACAAATCATATTTTCATTTTGTCATTAACATTTTTCGAGAAAACTGCTTCAACATACGAATTCTGCTCGTACGCCAAAGCAACGGACGCTCCTTTGTCGGCTCGTATCACGAAACACGCGTATGTCAGGAGTATCACGTAAGGAGTATCAGTAATAAATTTCTTTAATACTAAAATGTTTTTAGTAAATTGATGCAGCAATGACGAAAGCTAAAATCACTTGGAAACATATTCTAGATCTATATTTTCAAATGAAAACCCATATAACTACTGCTATCAGGATGGCCGATGAAAACAACAAACATTTAACCCTGTGGTTGCAAGGTCAAAGCTCATACCACTGAGCCTCAACAATCCTTAAAAAGATATAAAAAGAGGTTGTTAAAACTATATGAAATAGTAGTAAAATCGCATTGCATAATATACTAATAAATAATACACAATTATATATTTGTCTGATTTATACGTCTCGCGTCAACCATAAGTCATTTTATAAGCAAACTTTGGAAAACAAGGCATATCTACATGTCTTTCTTTTATTGCTGCGTTTATTATGCTAATAAAGAAAAATATACGTCCAGAACACGACACCATAAGATTAATTAATTAAATTTGCGTACCTTATATATCTGTTGTGCGAATTAATTCAATAATGTTTTATTCACATTTTGGCCTTGGCGTAATCATATGATTATGGTCATTTTCATCATACTCTCACAAATTAAATTTTCTGTATCATATTATCTGTACCTGAAAACTAGAAAATAATAAGATCAATGATTATGATTTGCAATCACATAACTTGACAAAGACATAACTCGCAAGATTACTTACTTACTTATATAAATAATTACATGCCCCTGTATGTGTAGCCAAGCCATCTTTAATCTCATAAAAGTATCATCATAAAATAAGTTACTTGTCAAAATAAATAAAGAAGGTATGCGGGATAGTTTATGAAGGGAACAAACATTTATTTCGTTAAGTTGGCATAAACCAAAATCATGTGAAACAGTTACTGACAAGGAAGTTTATTTTTTCAAATATTGAATTAATTTGATTTTGACTTAAAATTTTATTGATTCAAATATGTTTACTTAAAATCAATTTCAAATGGATCATATTTAAATTGGAGTTTGCCATAAGAATATTAAATATGAATTATATTTGAAACACAGATTTATGAATTTTTATTAGATCCATTTGTCAAATGAATCCGAAATTATATAAGTTCATACTTATATGGTATATTGACATTTCTGATAGATTCGAAAAGCATACAATCCTAAATATTAATAACTTTGTATTTAAATTCTTCGCGTTTCTTCTTGGAAAACGTAGACGAAAGTTCAAATTTTGGCTCTCATACACACGCATACATTTTTCAATTTTGGTCTCAAATGATTCCAAATTACTTGAAATGTCAAGAAAATAAATACAGCATGTGTGATTTTTTTTGACAAAAACATAAACTTCCTTTAGGAAGTTAATAATTAAGACTAAATGCACATTAGTTTAGAAATTAAAAAATAAATGATAAACAGCACCTATAAGTTGTCATCCGAATATTAATAATAAGACTAACACTTGTTCATGGTCTAAGAATATGTTATAATATTATAATACGTATTGCAAACATTAAATAAAATTGCATAAATATATATTAATTGAATGAAGGTGTATCACATTTCGAGTAAAAGGCAGTGTTTTGTTTCTAGGCAATAAAAGTGTATGATCCTAGACAATATACTAATATTGGTGTATGATCTGTAAACTAACTGAATTTGTAATCGTAAAAGCATTTTTATAATATATAATATTGGTGTATGATCTGTAAACTAACTGAATTTGTAATCGTAAAAGCATTTTTAACACAGTATTATATATACAAAACTATTGAGTAGAATTTTTCGATGTATGCTTTTATTAGTAAATGATTTTCGAAACAACATTCCAAAATCAACTATTTATTTCACGGAGTTGTCATTAGATCTTGGAGCATTAGATTCATTAATGACCTCAACCCTATGTAATTGAATAAATTAACCTGCAACAGCCTTTTGTTATTGCCTTAAAAAAATATATATATTTTCCCAAAATGTAAACTAAACTAATTATATAAACCTATATTATATGTAGATATAGACGACAACATTGCAGTTGTAGCAGTTGATTAAGATCCAACAGTTGTATCTGTTGTTAAGATACAGAATTATCTCATCTTCGGTAGTAGAAGATCAAAATAAATTACTCAACACATTAAATCTCTCTTCGTATAAATACTTGCCCACAAGTATCTTTAAGAGGTGAACTTTTGCTTAAAAAAGATGTGATTAATTATCGGTGGAATGCACCTGCACAGAAGTTTTCCTTGGAATCCCCACATCGGGTTATTTTATGAAGGAAACAAACATTTATTTCTTTAAGTTGGCATAAACCAAAATCATGTGAAACAGTTACTGACTTAAGGAAGTTCATTTTTTCAAATATTGAATTAATTTGATTTTGACTTAGAATTTTATTGATTCAAATATGTTTACTTAAAATCAATTTCAAATGGAAATAAAAACTCAGTGAATTAAGCTTGAAATGTCTGAACTTTATTGGCTTCTTGGTAGAAGATCTGAAAAATCTCTAGTCAATAAATTTCTTCTGTATAAAACTATATTTAACCCATATGGTCATATGGAATTGAACTCTGGGGATGTGCAAGTAAATCTAAATATATACTAATGCAGAGACTACAATCTGAAACTTTTAGAAATATCACTGATGCTTCCTACTGGTATATTTCTAACTATATAATTCATGATAAATTGAAATTGAATATTTCATTTGAAAAATAAGTTAAGAAGGATAGATGCTATAAATCTTGAAGATTGAAGACCATTCTAATGAATTGTCAACTTCTCTGCTTAATTCTCCAATAGTGAGGTGTCTCAAAAGAAATTGACCAACAGATTCAATTTACATTATATCAATTTAGTTTTATTCCTATTTGCAAATCTATCATTGGGGAAATTTTGCTTTTAACTCACCTTAAGCAATTAATATATATTAATGTGAATGTGTTAATATGTATATGTGTAAGTGTTATTTTTTGTATGTGTTATAGGTTTCTTATGATCTACCAAGCTTTTGAAAATTACATTAATTTTGATTGCTGTTAAATAAATATAGAAAAAAGTATATATATATATATATATATATATATATATATATTAAGTCTACCGGAAAGTTCTGTCCCAATCTATGACATCATATTCATCACGTTTATTACATGTTTAATTATTGCAATTTCGGCTCTATATTTTTATTTAATATACACATGTTAATGTAAAACATAAACTGTAATGAAATTGATTCACATTAGTCTTAAGTGTAAAATGATAGCATATCCATGGCTACTGACAAAGTTAGTCTATGTAGAAATTTACTGAAATTGGTGATGGTACAGTTTCTGATAGCACATGCAAATTTGAAACAGATGATTTCAAAATTTTCAGGGCCTCACGGTGTTAAGAAATCCTCAATAATAATGGCAATTATCTTATATTATTCAAGTAACTTAACTGGCATCAAGAAAAAAGTATTTTGTTTTATTCCTAAAACGGATGGAATTTTCTGGTTGACCCAATATATATAAGCATATCATATTACAGTCCAAGCAAATGATTTGACATACCACATTTCTGATCAAGTTTTAGTAAAACTTACTTAAATCTAACTTAAGTTTATATATATATATATATATATATATATATATATATATATATATAATAAATGTTGAATATGAACAATACAACACTCAAATTTTTAACATACAATTTATTTAATAATTACAGATGTTTCGAGACCATGGTATACCTAATCTTCAGTGTAATTTCAAAACAGTTAATTATATACTAATACATTATTTAATTTTTTATTTAAATTACATTTAATTTTTTAAAATCTCTTACAAAGCTTGACTAAACATTGCTTTAAAACTTGATAAAGTACTAAACATTGAGATAGTTGGTGTTTTTTGAATTTTCAAAAACTTAATGTAATTTAAATAAAATATTAAAGAATGTGTAAGTATATAATTAACTGTTTTGAAATTACACTGAAGATGAGGCATACCATGGTCTCGAAACATCTGTAATTATTAAATAAAGTGTGTGTTAAAAATCTGAGTGTTGTATTGTTCATATTTAACATTTAATATTCGTTCCACTCATATCACAAAATTCTATAATATACACACATATTATATATATATATATATATATATATATATATATATATATATATATGCATAATAACCACAGCCAATGAATAAAAGACTTGTATAACCGTCATATTATAAAATATATTTCCATATTTTTTGAAAACTTAAATTACAAATATAATCAACAGCTGTGTTGAGTTATAAATAAAACTGACAATCATATTGTCAGTTAATCAGTCACTTCATATCGACAAACACTTAAAATAGCAGAGATAGCTTTTGCACAATTCAAATAAAAGATAAATAAATGCATGTAAAGCACTGACAATGTTTGTAGAAAAAAACAAATAAGAACTGTGATATACAATAACAAAAATTATATATATATATATATATATATATATATATATATATTTATATCAATTGTTTTTTAGACATTGCAACATACTTAATAAAATTAGCAGCCAATTTATCAAATTAATTCAACATGCAGCAAATTAAACCAGAAAAAAACAAAGAACAAAATAAAACAACATTTTTTAAAAAGAAAATTTTAATTAACAATAAACATCGAAATATAACTACTATTTTAAAATAAAAGAAATTAACTTTCAAAATATTTAAAAAAAGTAACAAAGCGTAATCGACCATGTAGCTTTGGTTAGTTTTTTTATTATAAAATTGTAATTATGTTCTGGTGTTTATTGTTAATTAAACCTTTCAGTTAAAAAAAATATGTTAAATTTGTATTATGATTTTTTCGGGTTTGAACTACTAAATAATGACACATAAAAATTGTGAACAAGTGAAAATATTATCCCATTTTTTAATTCAACGAATTGGCGGCTAATTACATATATATATATATATATATATATATATAGTTATCATTAATTATATTATATTAACACTTTGATGACCGGCCACATGTTAAATCGTATTTTTCTGGCCAAACGTTGTTGACCAAAACTAGACGTATTTGTAAAAGATATTTTGTGCCATTACATTGTAGATGATTGTTATACTGCTTATAATATGAAGATAAAATATTAAAAACTGAATAAAAAATAAAATTCATTAAAATTTATCTTCATTGTGTTACTTCCACATCCTATTACAAATTAATAGCCGGTGACATGAGATAGATTTTCAGTAGCATTGCCAGTCACCAAATTGTTAAAATATAATTCTAAGAAAGATTGCATAACATAATTAGTCAGTCTATTGCACATACCCATGATTTAACTTTATCAAATTGTACAAAAATTACATTATAAAATACTGTAGTAAAATTAATAGAAGATTATATTTCACAGTCATCAAATGCTGTTATTAATTTTTCACTCACTTTACATTCTTGAGCTTCTACCATAGAATCATACACATGCAAAAACCTAAGAGAGTTGGCACGCAATTCACCTGCTTTGAATAGAGGACCCATGAGCTTGTTGTAAAGTCGAACTGACAAAATCTGCATGAAGGAAATATTTTTTGCGAGTTGTTCTTGAAAACTTTCTGTCAATGGCCGAACAGCATTCTCATGGGGTGATTTCGGCTGAAAAAAGATTACATTATATATACATACACACACATTTGTTGAAATATTAAGTGAAAAACAAATATGTTACATATCATAGTAAGTTATGTAACAAGTAAGTTCAGTCATATCGTATTGTGCAATGAAGTTGAATGTGATCATAGAAAGTTCATATGAGCAATAAATGTTTATTTGCAGCGAAATAGTCGAAATAAAAAGCAATAAATAATTAATAATTAACCATTTATTGTGTAAGTTTCAATACTGTATGCGTATCATCATTCAGCAAGTTGAACAAATTCAAACCAAATAAAAAACGCAACATACAAATTTTAAAGACGTTGTATAATGAAAAAACAAAAACAAAAAGTTATATAATAAAATTATGTAGTAAGTCACATGATTAATAAATTGTAAATAATTTACACTGAAATTGTTTCACAATTTGTTAATCATGTGGCTTACTGCATTTTTTTTTTTATTATTATTATTATTTTTGAACAGCAATCAGAATCTTACGTCCTATGAGCTGTTGGGCTGAAACTTCTCCTTACTTCGTATTTTTTAGATGGTAACCCAATGGTTAATCCACCCATATTAACATATTGCTATCTATATAGTGAAAATCGTTGTCACTGCTGCCTGACAACAGGCTGCTCGAAGTGGGTATCGAACCCGTAACCTCTAAAACAAGTCCCGTCGCTCTTAATCGCTTACCTACGGGCGAGCCCACTGCATAATTTTATTATTTAATTTTATTGACGCTGTGTTTTCTTCCAGGTATGAATTTGTTATATGTGCTGAATGCTAACACAAACATACAATGTCAAAATGTTTTTATTATTAAGAGTTTTTATTTCGATTATTTGCCTGCAAATAAACATTTCAAGAATATGTTTCAAAGCCAGACAAAAAAATCATATATATATATATATATATATATATATATATATATATATATATATATATATTAGGGTGGTCCTTAAAATGACCATTTTCGAATTTCCTTGCTCCCAGGGGCTCAAATGGTTCCAAATAAATGAAAAACAATTCTCTAAAAGTTTTAGCTCTTAATATTAACGTTTAGATAGAGCGCAATTCAATCAATGTTTGTATGGGAAGAGCATGGAAAAATTTTTGAAAATTTAAAAAAAATGTTTTAGGTATAACTTAGCGACAAATGAATAAGTTTTATTCATTTATTTGTTCGCTAAATTACATCTGAAAAACATTTTTTAAATTTTTGAAAATTTTTCCATGCTATTTCCATACAAAACTTTGATTGAATTGCGCTCTATCTAAACGTTAATATTAAGAGCTAAAACTTTCAGAGAATTGTTTTTTATCAATTTGGAACCATTTGAGCTCCTGGGAGCAAGGAAATTCGAAAATGACCATTTTAAGGACCACCCTAATATATATATATCAGAAAATCAGCTTTATTAATCTATACTTTTCAGTAATTGTTTCATAAGTCCAATATGCTTACATCCATTTTCTTGTTCTAAATTCATTATTAAAAACATCCCAGTTTTCCACTAAATGACGGTCTCGATAAAGACTGAAACGTATGGATTAATAAAGCTGAGTTACTAATTGTTTTAGTTTTTTTTTTTTACTTGGTGCTATTGCCCGACTCAACACACTTGTTTTAATATATATATATATATATATATATATATATATATATATAAATATAAAACAAAAGTTTGAAACAGGTAATTTCGACGTTCCTGTTCCAAGAGAGCATCTTTGATAGACTCCGTTATTGTTAAGGTGATATTGGAGCAAGATTTTTTTCTGAAATGTCCTATTCACATGTTTACTAGTTCAGATATATACACATAGATGAGTGTGTGGTTAGTGATGACAATTGCACGGCAGAAATGTTTTTTGAAATTATACAAATTTACTACAACAAATTTTGAAACAAGTGAATTTTTGTAAATATCAACTACCTTTTTAATATAAATATGTGCTGGAACCCCCAAATATTTATTAATAATTTTTTCGTAACTCAGAAAAGTTTTAGGATGATCTCCTGTTTTGATCTTCTCTATATAATTATCGGCTAACTGCAAATATAATAATACTATTTAATAAACGAATTTGAATGCCTTATAAACAATTATTTCACACGAAAATACCTGCAAGTCAAAAATGCCCTTAAGATCAACTTTATAATGACAAAAAAGACTATCAGCTAAAGTGTGGGTTTCACATGTAATCTTCTTTACATCAGGATTCTCTAAAATTTGCTTTATCTCCTTTGGCATACTTCCCAAGCTCAAAATGTCAAAGAAATAAATATTGTGTGAGGTACAAAAGGCAATAATATGAAGGCAATTTATTCGTATGTAGGTATCTTCAGCCATGAATCCTATGTATTCCCTATCTTTGAGATCATCGATTGCATTCCTATATACTTTATCATACGAATTGATTAGCTTGTAGGACTTAGCAAGATTTTTAATATCTTCATAATCTTTGGTAGTTGTGACATCCTCACTGTTTGGATCCGAAGAATCATCACTAGTGTCCCTTTTTAGAATGGTGACATTTGTAACGTCATGATTGAGGATGTTACGGATGCCTGGAACACTGGCCCCATTTTCCAGATAGGTTACATCGGTTAAGCGAAAGCGAAACTTTTCAGAATCATAACCTACTACAACACCTTCGACGGGTCCGTACATATTTGTCTCAGCAATGATATGATCATTAACTTTAACATCATTCATGCTTATTTTTTGATCTTCCGATTCGTATTCAGACATCTTAAATAGAATATATTTATCACAGTTATTCGAAATTTAGTTAGTTGATTAGTTATTATCACAGAATATTGGTAAAGGTAGCAGTATATTTTGGCATATATTGGCAAATTAATATATTTTTAATTAAATCTGATTTATTTTGAACTTTCCACGTTTTTGTCACAAACATTCATAACCTTCAATAACTTTGCAACATACAGATTTACTATACAGTGCTACCAATTCACAAAATTATTTTTGGTCAGTGGTTGTAAACGTGTGCGGACAAAAACATTTGACATTTCTTGGCTTTATATTTATTTTGTCACAAAATTATTATTATAATTGAATAAGATCTTCATTAATAGTATTTCTTATTCATCAAAATTCGTTTTGACCTTCCTTCTCGATAAAAGTGAATGAAAACAAGAGTCAGTTTATGTACTTTAGTCTACTTGCCTCTACTAACATGTAAAAAAATAATATTTAAAGCCAGCCAAGGGCCAGCCACGATACTGTATAATTGCGCAACCTGTGACTTGCACAAGTATTCTGTAGCGCCTAGACAATATTAGAATTTAGTGTATTCATGCTGTAGCGTCCAGTAGCGTCTGTGGGATTATTTTTGCGCAACTTGACAGACTGGTACAAGCAAGTAGGCATGCGCACTTTTCGATTATTTTAATTGCGCAATCTTTCAAGTCGGCAAGTTCATTCGTTGGCCGCGTGTGGCAGCACATGTCCCGTTTTTGTATTATTTTTGTATTTTGTATTTTGTATTTTGTAGCAAATACATAATTCAAATTGATGAAGTTATCATCAATTAAAAGTATTTAAATCAGTCCTCTTAACTATTTAAATTCTCTTCTGATGCTGTGAATATATAAATTAATAAAAAAGATATATTTTTAGATTATGTCTTGATAAAAAAGATATATTTTTAGATTATGTCTTGACGTTTCTTATTGTTAGTTAAAATTTTTGAGATGCTTGCGCAAATACTCGAGCATAAATTTGAGCAGTCTGTGTACACTGTGAAAATACGCTTGGTTGCGCATTCATTCAGTTGCACATGCATACAGTAACGTTGTGGCCGGCATAAGATTACTATATATGTCCCTCTTTAGTAATCCACGCCTTAAGCCTGGACAATACTAGAATGTAATATATTCATAGCCATAAGCAAACGCAAATTAGGTGTAAGTGACATTTTGCCTTAAGACAAGTTGCATGAACTTCCCGATATGAAAAAAAATAATTACTAAGAATCAATCAAAATAATCAATAAGAATTGGGATTTAGCTATTTAAATACAATTTTCTACTGTTTATTTTGAAAATATAGGTTGCGGGCGTAAAATAAAGGCGTAAACAAAATTTCTTACACTTTTCTGCTAATTATAAAGAAAGAATCGGCGTGGCAGATTGTTGCACAAAACAGACAAACGATAGTCCTCATCGAGCTACATCAAATGACTTAAAAATTTGGAAGTCGGTCCAGCCGTTTTTGAGGAAACGGATCGACAAAATATCAAAAACCGGCTCACATACACACACGTACTTTTTACAAATTTGGGTTTCATTTGATTCAAAACTTCTTGAAAGCTCAAGAAAACATCAAATTAGCAAATAGGATTTTTTCGCGAAAACAAGCTTCTATTTCGGCAAATTAACAAGAGACATTATTATTTAAACCAAAGCTACTCCCGATGTATTTAGCCCATACTAGTAGTGCTGCTCCCAATACGAATACCCAACACATAGGTCCTTGAATCTAGCATCGATCTCTCCTCAAGAAGACCTTAACGGTTAACACGAAAATGCCAGCCCGTCAAAAAATAGCACACTTAATTGCCTAAGAGAGCGTCGATCAATCACGTGAAGGGTAAAAAATCCCTGAAAAAATCGATCACGTGGTTAATGGACGCCCTCTAAGCGGGACACTGCCTCTGATGTAACTGCCCGGAACAAGACCATCAACAACTTGTCTTCTTCGCGGAGAGTGACGCATTGTTGCCTATATGATAGTCACTCTGGTTTTAAATAAATTCCTTAACACGAATGCTCAAAATTCTCAATATCTTTATTGCATGATTTATTAAAATCATTCAATAATTCATCATCTGCTGAGCCTTCAAAATGTCACTGTACAAAGATAAACAATTCTTGTTTGACTTTTAAAGAATGTGATATCTAAAATTTCATCAATACGAAATTCTAAATTAATTGAAAAAGCAATATTAGAAGTAAAAAATTTGGCAGTTTTACTGAAAAAGTTACGATATTTGCTTCGTACCACATGGAGATAGAATATTAGTGAAATATAATTAACATATTTTAATTACATTAAATTATTAATAACTATTCAAATAAGTGCCTGCGATATTCGCAAAGCAAGAAGCAGCCTACCCTTATACTGCAAAATTTGACTTGAGCCTTATTATAATATTATACCGACGGCTTGTAAAATAAATAAATACTAAAAGACGTTTTCATGCATTTGATAGGAGAAAACGTGTCAACATATATATATATATATATATATATATATATATATATATATTACATAAAATAAATATTCAAAACATTTAACAAAAATAAACATGTCTTCATCACTAAAAATCTAATCACGGTAGACAAGATTATCAAAAGCAAATGCATTTTTATGCATGTCAAATATAAAATTAAGTACTTTTACATATGTAATACTTTAAAATAATTTAAGTTAATTAAATAAGTTAGAAAAGTGTGAGAACTCTCAAACAACTAGTAGCTTATATATGCTGTAAACTGCTAACATAATTTGTGTGAAGTTAGGAATGTTGAGAGATTGTCCACTCGATGCAGGGTTATACCATCCCAGAACAGGATTCCTGAAATTATACGAATATATTTTACACAAGATTATTTATAGTAAGTACTATATTTTTAATTAATACGTAATTTCAATTATACTTATTATATATATTAAAAATTTATATCATATTTATTAAAGATGATTATATATTAAGTACACAAAAACAAAATATTCTATAAAAATTTATTTTACATATTTTTACAAAAATATATATATATATATACAAATATCTAATAATAAGAACTAATAACTAAAAGTGTGAAGTGAGAGCAAATAAATTCTGAATTGTAAGTCACTTATAGTTCTAAAATAATTCATGCAATGTTTCAATGCGCACCCAAATATAATATAAAAATAAAAGCAAAGAAAACATAGCATTTATAAGAGAGAATTTAACACATCGGCTTAATTGTTGATCAAATTTTGCTCAAAATACATGGAATGGACAGTTAGGTAGAATGTCCTAAAATATTTTTAAATGAAATAAATTATATTTGTTGATTAAAACAACAACCAATTCAGATTTACCAGTGTTCGGCATAGTTGTTTGTCATATGTTATTAACACTTAATTTCTCTTAGAATCTCGATAATAAGTCCCTTACGCAATGCCGATGACTCCGCAGCCAGCCCGGCCGCCGGCGTTACCGGTCTTGAGACTCAGTTCGTGTCCGCCGCGGCCCAAGTCATCTTGTCCTGAGTGCACGACCACCGCGCGGCCTATGACGCAGCGAGGGCCACCGTGCAGGGAGATCACATGGTCGACAAATTCGAAATGAGCTTCACCGCGTTCGTCAGCAGCGATGTTTCCGAAATCTCCAGCGTGACGGACTGGGTCTTCGGGAGCACCATGGGTTAACTATAAGAAAACAAACAGTAAATAAGTACATATTTTCATTCTTGCACAACTGCTTGAGATACCACATTTCAGGAGGCCCAAGCGTAAATCACCAATGGATAATATCATAATCTAGCAAATTGTTTAATGGAACAATATCTACATTTTTTATAGTAAATCATCAAAATATGTTAGTTAATTTAATGTTTTTTTTGTAGTATTATTATATTATTTACTATTATTATATATATTATTATTATTATTAGTTACTATTCTTATGTTATTATCTTTATTTATTCTTATTTAGTTTATTCTTTTTAGTTTATATACACAAGCAAAGCAGCTCATAGAATGTAATTACTGTTCTGATTGCTGTATAATAATAAATGAATAAAAAAAAATATTTTCATTCTTTTAATTTCCCTTAGCCTTGCAAGCCCACTTTGCGTGCAACCTGATATCAAATAGTAGTGATACCTATTTTACTTGAAAAATATATGAGCTACTGGTGCATGACATCGTGGCTTAAGGCAAATTGCTAGAACTTAGAAAGGCTTTAAAATTGGATTTTTGAGAATTTTTGAAGATATTTGACTTTTTTTAAAAACTCGATGTTTTTTTTATATTTTGAAATTTTTTGAAAATTTTGAACTTTTTGTCAAAGCAATCGCGCTGCGTTAGCTACATAGAGACATAATATCGAAAGGCGTAAGCGCCGTGTCGTAGTCCAATGAATAAACATTGGTAGGGAATCCATAGAAATGTAAACGAACTTTGTACCTATTATTAAAATCTCTAAAATATCTGATAATGTGATGTGCATATGTCCAATAATTATTTTTGACCGCCAAAAGACATTTGATTTTATTTTTTATTGGATCTCTAAAACCGCCGGATCTGTCTTCCTAAAAATTTAATCATACATTTAATAGTTAGTACAAAAAGTTTAAGAAGTTAATACAAATAAAATGTTATTTGAATCATCAAATCGTACGCTCCGTTATCTTAAAAACTGAATTACCATTTTTGGCACATTTTACCCCGTATCTTCGAATCGACTGACCTGCAACTAAAAACTAATTAGCACGTCTCCCCCATCAATACAAATCGAATTTTTTGAATTATTCAAATCGGTTGATCCGTGTTCACGACAAAAATTTGTATCCGCATACATACATATACATTCATTGTTTAAGGTATGCCAAAATGATCAGAAACCTTCGAAACGTAAAGATTTCGAATTTTTTATTATTAATTTTTATTTTTTTTTGCAATTACTATAACTTAACATGTGGAAAGTTAATAAATATTTTTATTTTTTTAATTAGCCTTAGGCTTACAACCACAAAGTTTCGAGATCAAAGCCGGCTTTGCGTGCAACCTGATATATATTTTACTTGAAGAAAATGGAAGAAAAATATAATTACTAGTAAAATTAACCTTTAAGGAAAATGCTGCAACAAGTTAATATATCATCACAATGAGAAAGCGGTACCATTCGATTGCTTCCTAATAATAAATATCAAACCTAGAAAAGATCAACCCTAGTATTACTAATGATTCTAATAGCCATTGGTAAAAACAATCATCACAGCAGCTTATTGAGAATTTCAAAATTCTAGTTGGTATTGAGAAAAAAAATCTAACTAATCTACTTACCATATCAGGGTTAAAATGTCCACCAGCACTAGCACATCCTCCAGTCAAGTCCCCTTTTTCATGAACGTGAAATCCGTGCAGACCAGGAGTTAAACCAAGAATGGAACCACGAATTGTAACGGCACCGCCAGGTTCATTTTGGGTGAAGCTCACATTTCCCACTAAACCAGCACCGCTAAGAGCGCATGTGGCATGTAGTTGCTGCAGTTACCATAAATGATTCAAAATAGTTAAGTAAAATGCAATGATTATTTAGTATCTATTATCTATTTTGATAAATGGTTGTAATAGCATAATATATAAACAATTTTAAATTTTTATACAATAGCGCTAGAACACAATAAGTGGAGACAAATTAAAATTTATTTTTCTTTTATCGTAATTGAAAAGATGGCAATTGTTTATATATTTCGTATTGTAATTGAATTCATATATAAGTATACTGACAAAATGCTAAAATTATTCGCGATTTTTTATTAGGCTTATTCAAAATATTTGCCTAATTGAATTTTATTAAATGGGTATTAATATGGGTATATGGGTATTACATTTATATTTTGATATATTTTTTATGAGCAAAATCGTTTCGAAAAGCGTTTAAAGTTAAATTAGTATGTAAATTGAATGACTGGCATAGATAAATTGCAAAGTTGTTTATAAGCCAACCGCCACATAATTGTAATTACCTGTGCGTTTCCTGCAACAAACACGCACGCCAAGACCAGAAGAAAACGCATGCTGCGGCTGAAATGATGATAAAACCGATTTACAATATTATAATCATAGATAAGAGAGTAAATTATAACATAATTATAATTATAGCACAATTATAATAAGATAAACGCAATAATACTACAGTACTACATATAGTTTTTTAACTGTAGTATATTGAAGATGTATGAAAAACTCATGAATCTAAATTTTGTGATATATTTTTATTAATTCTAGCCGAAAAAATAAATTAAAACGCTCCTATTGTCTTAATCCCTACAGAACATGAAATTTTATAGCAATAATATGAACAAATAATAACCTTAACTTGAAATTAACCAGTAACTGTGGCGTCTTCATTCAAACAAGCTTATAGTTTTATGTTGTCGAAGGCATGACGAGTTAAATTGGTAAAATATTGAATAAATAAGTTTGGTGATTTTTATAATATTTATTGAACATTTCATTGCTAATATTTATTTCTTTGGATAACACAATCATATCACATACATATTAAACTAATAACGTCAGAAATTCAATTAAATATATAATCTCAAAGTTTATATTTTCATCAAAAAATCCAATTCGCCAGTTTTATGTTTCCTCGACGTTTCAAGCCATTCAGAAACGAATGAGAAAAAGTATGTGTGTGTGTGTGAACAGTTTTTTTACATCAAATCGACGTTTTCCGAATGCAAAAATTGAAAAGCCATTCGATGTATCTCGAAGAGGACTCAGTTTTGTGCGACAATCGGCCGAGCCTTTATTTATAATTTGCAAAAGTGTAAAACTTTTTGTGCACTTTCTAGCTCATAATACTAAATAGATTTTATATAATCAAAAACAGTTTGAAAGAAATTTCAAAGATCGATCGAACCGTTTTCTTGTAATTAACAGTTGAAATTTTTTTTGCCGATTTTTATAAAACTTTCTTGCGCGATAGATAAGATGGTCTTATAGAACTTACTGAAATATTAAGGCCCTACGGCAAGAAGTTTAATTTTAAAAATTCATCAAAATTTGAAGAAATATAGTCAAAATTTGTGTCAATAAGAGTTGCTTTTGTGATGTGATAGGTCAAACATTATCAATTAATTAAAATGTGGAATAATAAATTACAATTTTAGGACATACAAGCACGTGTCTATATAATTAATATAATTCCAGTTAATTTAAAAGTGATTGAAGAAATTCAATTGGAAATCGCATTGTTAAATATCCCAATTTTATATCCCAATTTCGATTGATTAAGTCAATTATTACACTTATCGGGAAGCTTTTGCAACTTGTCTTAAGGCAAAATGCCATTTTCAACTAGTTTACTTCTATTCTAAACACTGAAATTTGAGAATATGTTTAGCTTTTCTTGAAAATTGCATTTTAAATAGCTACTGATTTATAAGCATGACGAGAATACTCAATACACAAAAATGTATTGACTATTTACTATATATATATCGCTCCATGACTATTATACTCGTCAATCTCACGATCAGTCAACGGGTGAATACACTAAAACACATTGTCAAACCTTTCAAACAAAACTTACAACTAATGAAGTAAAAAAATAATCAATTGTAAATATGTAAAATATATATAATTAACTGATATAGAATACTATTATGAACTGATAATTGCACTGAAAACCTTGTAATGTTGCGAAACATACGTAGCAAAATGATGCAGTATCATGTGTCAGAAGAGGCGGCAAAGTCGCAACAATGTCACAGCAAAATCATATAAGCACTAATAGATAAATAAGAACTGATTTGCATAAAATTACGGGATCTGCATATAAATGAACTAAACATCTGCACAAATACAAAAACCATAAAGTAAATATTGTATGTATATGTTTGATGGAAAAGGTATTCCAGACAATTTTTATTTGGAAGCTAACAATTTAAAAAAAAAGTATGATTCGATTCTAGTAATTGTCTTAATGCCACTTCAGATGGAATTAGATTATAAATCAAACAAAAATTTGGTTTATATGCTATTTTTCAAGATATAACTGCAGGCAACTTTGACAAATAAAAGCGATGATCTTGAACATCAATGGAACCTTAACAAATTAAAACATTGAATTGGTTTTAATTTATCATCGCAAATATTCGAAGCTGCCGTCCTCGCTCCATAACAACTTTTTTTTATTTAATTTCATTGAGACAGGCTATGCCCATAACTTTCAATTTAGCCCGAAGCCGTCGACCGAATTCAATATTTTAGAAAAATACCATAGTTGCGCAGTCCTGGTGCAAATATTTAGAGAAATCTTTGCAAATCAGTTAGTATTAGCAATACAATTTTAGCACGAAATAATTCGTAACAAATGACAAATATTTGCATGATGAAAATGTGAGTCAACAGCATTATGAACGAGTTCGTGCCGACTGTTTAATGATTAGACAAATATCAAAATGTCGAATAAAAAATATTTTTTGAGCAAATACACGAATCAAGGTAACTATAGAATTTGACAAGATTTCACAAATCACGAAATTGGTGTACATGAGTTTTGAAGCAACATTTGAGTGTACAACTGTGTGCCTCAAATAATTTACTGACAATTAGTGCAAAGTGTAGAATAATATTATTATTGAGGAACAAGCAAGTAAGGCTTCTCAAAATATGAACGAATTATCAATTCTGCCAAAAAATCACTTCTACAGTACATATATTGGAAGCAATATTCATTATTTAGTCGAGAATAAATATATGAAAGGTTTTAAGTACCCATATTTACTTAAAACACATCAAACATAAGCTTCGAAACAGATATAAATACAATATTATAGTATTGTATTATATACTCGTATATTCATATGAACCTATAAAAAAATATTAGATATATGTATTACATATATTATTATTATTAACTTCCCGAAGGAGAAGTTTGTTTTTATCAAAAAATCCGATTCGCTAATTTTATGTTTTCTCGACGTTTCAAGCCATTCTGAATCGAATAAGACCAAGTTTGGAAAAGGTATGTGTGTGTGTGTGCGCGTGTGTGTGAACAGATTTTTGTCGTAAATCGACGTTTTCTCAAAAAGGGCTAGACCGATTTCAAAAATTTAAAAACCATTCGATGAGGACTATCGTTTGTCAGTTTTGCGCAACAATCGGCCTAGCCATTTCTTTGTAAATAGCAGAAAAGTGAAAAATTTTTCGTCGACGTTTTAGCCCACAATTCTGAATCGATTTTGAAAATTCAAAAACCGTTCGAAAGATATTGGTTGGGGGGAATCGTGCTGATTAGTTTTTAGTAGATATGGGCCGTTTTCTTGTAAAGTGTTAAATTTTTTTTCGACGATTTTTATGGTTTTATTTGACGGTAGATACCATACCATAGTCTTATAGATCATGCTAAAATATTACGGCCCCGATCCGTGTTCTCGAGATCCTCCACAACGAAAATTGTATCCGCGTATACATAACACACACATATACATTGATTTTGCTTAAGGTATGCCAAAATGTTCAGAAGGCTTAGAAACATAAAAATATTTAAAAAATTTAATTTTCGATTATTTGCGATTACTATAACACCATTCAGAAAGTTAATAAAAATTAATAACAAATTAAAAAATTAAAAAAAAAAACTATTTTTAGTAATTGCTCCAATAAGAAATTGACTATGGAATACAATTTTTTTACAAGAAGACTATGGATAGTTTTTTGTGAAGTCTTAAAGGTGGATTATCAATTAACCCTTGTTGCATTAGGATCATCGTAGTAACATTTAATATAATATATTATCAAGCAACTCTCTAAAAACATTTACCAAAAGAAAACTGTTTACGACTTTACTACTTCTTATCACCTGAAACAAAATCTCTAATTTTATGTTAATCACTTAAAGTAATTTCGTTCGATATTCTTAATACAAAAAAGTGAATATATTTGCATTTCAATATAACAGCATAAATTGACAAGTTATTTACAGTAAATAATAAAGCAATTATAGTTAATATTTATCGAAGCAATAACAATGATTAGGAATTGAAACGCATATAGGAGTAGATATAAATAATATACATATTTTCAAATTTTTATTTACGACAGATATGTTACTTAAATAGAATGCTCGCAATTTTTTATTAATATGATATGTATAATAACTCCGATAACTCATGAACCGCGTTGAAAAGATTGATTAATATAATAGTAAATATTTATTTATTCATTACACTAACTATATATTTACTACTAAAAGAATTGCTAAACTTCAAAACAATTTTTATTGCTGAAGAACTCTTTAGAAATGTTTTATATAATTTTATGCACGCAGATGCTAGAGATTCACGTGTACATTTATTCCTATTACAATAAATTAAGTAATCTGACTTTTAATTTGAAAGAAGACATAACATTTTTTTTTAACACTTTCCACTCGGGAGTCGGACTGCTAGTCGGTACGCTGCGCTCGGAATATTATTGTCTCATATCTCTCAACTCGGAATTTTTTTTTGTATCGGATTTTTTCAAAATGTGGTAATATTGGTTTCAAATATAGTTATTATGATAATAAAATAGAAAAATTTAAAAATTTAAAAAAATGCGCTCAAAACCATACTATATTGTTTAAAAAATAATTTCTTCTATTATAATGGCTTACAAAATAACAAATCCTGATAGACAAGGAAACAAAAATTAAATTTAATATGTTACCAAAATTATTACCATTATAATAAATATTTAATATTTATAAAATAACATCTCCAGTAAAATTTATATATCAAAAAATTATGGGGTTCATGAGCTAATAAATTAATTTTGTTATATATTTATTTATAAAATTAATAAATCAATCAATAAATTAATGTAATAGTGAATTAATTTCAAAAGAATGAAAAAAAAAATTAAATATTTAAGTTTGCGACGAGACGATTTGCCGCCGGAGCGGCGGCATCCGAGCGGGACGGTAAAACGTACCATGCCGCCGGAGCGGCGACATCCGAGCGCAACGGTAAAATGACTATGCCGCCGGAGCGGCGGCATCCGAGTCGAAAGGGTTAATATACGTGTAAATGCGGGATATTATTAATGTTTATTTTCCATGTTATTTAATTTTACTAGTTAGTGTAAGTATAAACATCAGTCTAGGAACTTTAGGTTTACTGATGCAATTTATGTCCAAAACTAAATAAAATATTTAATAAATTAATAATTTAATATTAATTTAGCAGTGAACATTGTCATCTTCATTTTAAGGCATAATGCAAATTGCACCAGTTTTCGCATAAAAGCTAATTTAACTAGCTGTAAGTGGAATTCTGTCTTAAGGCAATTAAGGCATCGTGCCTTAAGGCAAATTGCTGGAACTTCCCGTACCAAAAATTATTATTTTTTTAAAAACGATTGACATTTTTTAAAAAAAATTACTTCGAAAAAATACGATTTTTAAGAAACTATAAATTGGACAAAAAATTACTTTTTTTTTGAAAAAAAAAATTTTTTTTTAAAAAATTTTTTTTAAATTTTTTTTTTGTTTTTTTTTTTTGAAAATTTTTTTTTTTTTATTTTGACATATTGTGGAAGATCTGAACTTTCTTTTCAAAGCAATCGTACTGCTTTAACTGCATAGGGGCAAAATATAAAGCGCGTAAGCGCCGCGTCGCTATCTAACGCATAAGCATTGGTACGGAACCCATAGGAATGTTAACAAAATGTATACTTATTGTTAAAATCTCTATAAAATATCTGATAATTTGATGAGCATATGTCTAATGATCATTTTTGACCGCCAAATGGCTTATTTTTTTACTTTTTCCTCCATATCTCCGAAACCGCTAGAGCTACCTTCATGAAAATTTTACCGATTCTTAACCTTGTCAATACAAGTGAAATGTTTTTTGAATTATTCAAATCGGACGCTCCGTTCTCTCAAAAACTGAGTTACCGTTTTCGGCACTTTTTGCCCCGTATCTTCGGAACGGTTAGACCTGCCTTCGCCAAAAACTAATCAGCACGTCTCCTTATCAATACGAATCGAATGTTTTTTGAATTATTCAAATCGGTTGACCCGTGTTCCCGAAATCGTCGACGAAAATTTGTATCCGCACATACATACACACACATACATACATACACACACACACACACACACATACACACACACACACACCCACACACACATACATCCATTTTTTCTAAGGTATGCCAAAATGTTCAGAAACCTCTGAAACGTAAAGATATATAAAAATTTTCATTTTCGATTTTTTTGCGATTACTATAACTTACCCTACGGGAAGTTAAAAATGAAATAATTTTCAGAAGAGTGAACCGGTAAAGGCAACAGTCAGACGTCTTAAATTGTTCTAATTTTTTCTGGCATAAGCGACATACAATTATCACAATTTTATATAATTTAAAATATGTATAATTAAACAAACTAGTTCGTATTTTAAATGTAATTTTGCTGGATCATATTTTTTTGTAGACTTGCCTGAATTAAAATAGAAATGATTAACAAATTATATATTTATTGTACCTATGTGTAAAATTTGATATATGTCTATCGAAAAAAATTGCGATTGATCGGAAGGGAGAAGCAAATTCGATTGAACACGTCAGAAAAAAAATGAACTTGTACTCGTATATTACACGAATCGAAACAATGAAAAATTAACGAGAATTTTCGTTCGTTATCACTAAATAACTAGTCCATGCACACGACTCAAGAACGAATGAATAAATAAATAAGTATATACACAAGGTTGTAAAACGTAAATGCAAGCTGTAATTAATTTTGTCTTGAAGCAATTTACAAAAACTTCTCGATAGATGTAATAATTGACTTAATAAACCGAAATTGAGATTCAGATATTTAGATAAAATTTTTAACAGTTTATTTAGAAAATAAAGTTTTCGCTTTCATATCTCTCTAACACATTTAAATTATCTGTAATTACAGTAATTATAGTGCGTGAACACGTGCCTCTATGCCCTAAAATTGTAGATTATCATTCCAAATTTCAATCAATTTATATAATTCAACCAATTTTTGTAGAAGTGTTTAGTGCACTTTATCGTCATGTTAAATTTCATTTTTGAGAAACATAAATTATTTTGTGAAATATTAAGCATATGCTGGTGGGGTAGCAGCAACTAGTCCCGGGTTCGCTGGTTCGATTCCCGCTACCGCCGTAGCCCGACATCAGGCAACTTTCCATTGTGGTTATAGATCACAATATAATTTCAAGTGGAAATCGTCCTTCGTGGACATAGCTGCATCATTCAATCATATGATGACTATTAGACGTAAGAGCTAATTTAAACCACACACATAGGAGAATGGTAAACCGATGGATTGCTTCTCATAAAATACGTTAGGTCATAAGTCTTCAACAAACAGCTTATAGAACATGTAAAGTAAGAGTTCTAATTGCTGTTGAAACAATAAAAAAGAAATTAAAAAAAAAATAATAAAAAAAAACTGCTTTAAGAAAATACTGGCATTTAATCATTTAAATTAACGGTAAGTGTTTTTTTTACGCAACTAGAGAAATTTTGAAGACTGCTCACTTATTTTTTGGCTTGGCCGATCTTCTCGCAAACTTAATCGCGGCTCCTCCTTATCGAATTTATTCCAATGGCTTTGAAATTTGTGAAATTCAAATTTTGACTTATCACATCTCGAAAGCGACTTTTTACACAAAGTTTGACTATCATATTTTTTCAAACTTTGATGAATTTTTAAATTTAAACGACTGATTGTAACATTTTAGTATGTTCTCTAAAACGATGAGATCTATCGCCAAAAAAAGTTTCATAGAAACCGTCGAAAAAAAAATTCTACAGATAATTACAATAAAACTTCCCCGGCCGATTTTTATCAAAAACTTATCGGAATCATTCCCAACCAATATCTTTCATATTGTTTTTGAATTTTTATAATCAATTCAGGTTTGCGGGCTAGAACGTAAACGATTTTTTTTTTACTTTTTTGCTATTTACAAAGAAATGGCTTAGCTAATCATTGCGCACAACTGATAAACGCTAGTCCTTATCGAAATACATCGAATGGATTTTAAATTTTTAAATGGCTCCAGCCTTTTGAGAAAACTTGAACGAAAGGTCAAAAATGGGCTCACATACACTCACACATACAGACGTACTTTTTCTAAATTTGGTAGGAAAAAAAATTATCAAATCGGATTTTTTGACGAAAACAATTTTTTCCTTCAGTTAGTTTAAAAGAAGAAAATAAAATAAAATATTCGTTAAAATAATTATTTCTGACCATTTGAAACAAATTTTATCAAGAAAACATGGCAATTAAGGTTAACAATTTATTATCTGTTATACAATTGGGATAAAGATAAATATAAAAGTAAAGAACTAACAAATATTACGCATCATTCTTTTTATGCTCAGGTTTAAACAACACACACATACACACACACACACACACATATATATATATATATATATATATATATATATATATATATATAAGTTATTTGCCTAGAGGAATAGAATATAATATATTCATATTATAGATTATTTGCAAATTAAATACCAACATAAACCGTTTTAAATAAAATATTACAGTTCGTTCATAATTACATGTAATACATAGAAAAGGTTAATTTTAATTAATAAATTTAGTTTTTTAATAAATATTATTTTGACTACAATTCACTCAATGTCAATATACAAATTTTATTAACATTTGTATCCTATTGACACTTGTTTTTCTAACGAAAATAATAATTTCTAGTGTATAATACACACATATAATAATTTTAATAATGCTTACAATAAAGTAGATGGGTTCGCCCGTAGGTAAGCGATTAAGAGCGACGGGACTTGTTTCAGAGGTCCCGGGTTCGATACCCGCTTCGAGCAGCAGGTTGTCAGGCAGCAGTGACAACGATTTTCACTTGGAAATATAGATAGCAATATGTTTCCAAGTGAAAATAGCCCTCCCCCGGCATTGTTGCACCATTAAAATGCCAGCCCTATTAGATTAATTCTAATAACAAAATCATCAAATATGGATGGATTAACCATTGGGAATACGAAGTAAGGAGAAGTTTCAGCCCAACAGCTCATAGGACGTAAGATTCTGATTTTTGTTCAAAAATAAAAATAAAAAAAAAATAATAAAAAAAATAATAATAATAAAGTAGATGTAAAAATTTGCAATTAACCCTCGATGTTCCCGAAATCGTCAACGATAATATGTATCCGCACACACACAAATACATCCATTTTTTCTGAGGTATGTCAAAATGTTCAGAAATGTTCAGAAATCTTCAAAACGTAAAGAAATTAAAAAAATTACAATTTCGATTTTTGGACGATTACAATAACTTACCCTACGGGAAGTTAACAAGAGTTAATTACACCTAAGTTTCTATATTTCATTTCAATTAATTATTTCGTTAATTTATTATCAGGATGAATGTCTGTTAAGAATCATTATGTTTATCATTATATATATATATATATATATATATATATATATATATATACATATATTGATCATTTTCAAATCTAACCTTATGATTTAGTTCTTCCAATAGATTTTTTGACAGTTCTACTGCTTGTTCCTAACCTTTCCTCCTTCGCCTGTCGATAACAACTGATGCGAATTTCAAACACGACTGACGGACTAAGCGGATCGGCTGTCGCCGCTTGCCGGTCTTCGCATGGTCGACATACCTGAGATAATTTGTTGTGACTGCTGGTTGCGCAACTCGTTATGCGATTGGTCCGTACCAACTGGGTGCTGTTGATCTCGGTAATGCCGGAACAGGTGATGACCAATTCACACTTGAGGACACTCGATCGGAATTCGATACATGAAGAGAATAATCTTCATTATTGATAATTATCAATTAAGAGGAATCAAAATATCATTAACCCTTTCGTTACGTATGTCGACTTTTTTTCACGATTTATCACTCTGAGTTAAATTATTGAGAATGCTAGTTTGCTCTCGTAATTTTTAGTTTATTAAAAGTCTAATTCTTGATTTCTATATTTTTATTGATAATGATGAAAAAATTTTGAAATATGTTGTGTAACAAATACTTGGGCGGCTGATGGCTCGTACAGTAGTGTCACTCCTGTGGAAACTCGTCGTAACGAAAGGTTTGAATATCGTTAATTGAGGTTCCAGTTCTAATAAGCTACTATTATGTGTTATGAAAGATACTGAAAGTTTAAGAAGCTATTAGAAGGAGAAATCCATCAATTACCTAACTAACTAAGATATAGTTTATATTAGCAATAACACGGGTTGCCTTTAAAGTAACTATAAGTGACGTATATACGTCCCGGTTTGGCCGGGACAGTCTCGAATTTCAAACTAATATCCCGGGTTTAAAACTTTTGTCCCGGGTTTTCAAAAAGTATAGAATCAAATTAAATCTTTGCAATTACTTTTTAATACAGTTACAATTACCTATAAAATATCTAAAAATGATATATAATACGGTTAAAAAGGCCTCTTACATTGAAATTTCGAACTTTTATTTTCAATTTTTTACTGTCTGGTATAAGTGCTTATTTTCACTAACATAATTATGAAGTTTTTTTTTATTATTTTTGAACAGCAATCAGAACCTAATAGTCCTACAAGCTGTTGTGCTGATTTTGACTTAATACTAGTCTGTTAGACAGATGACAACCCCATCTCTTTATGATATATAATTATTACAATTTCTGTAATAAGGCGAGTATTTTTATTAGTGCAGCAATGACGGGTGAAGGCCATTTTTACTTGGAAACATATTGCTATCTATATTTTCAAGTAAAAATCATTGTCACTGCTGTCTGACAACAGGCTGCTCGAAGTGGGTATCGAACTCGGGACCTCTAAAACGAGTCCCGTCGCTCTTAACCGCTTACATACGGGCGAGCCCTTTATGAAGAATGTTAAATAGAATTTTATACAGCACTTAGAAGCGAAAAAATATTGATCGAAAAATATAAGATATTATATGACATAATCGAATAATAAAGTTTTTACTAAAAGTCAGTAATTTTGATTTAAAAAAACATTTATTAAGAAAAAAAACAATTATTATTGTATTCTTAAATAGTACTTGTTACTTTAAATAATGTTTAAATTATTTAGCATAAAGAACACTTTCACACTACGTTCTAGAACAGCAAAACTAAAAGTGACCGTCCTGGTTTAGATCTAAAAAAACATGGTTGCCTTATAACCTGCAGCTATGTCCATGAAAGGCTATTTTCACTTGAGATTATATTTGAGATCTATAATCTTAACTGAAAATTTGCCATCTTAGCTACCTCATATCGAGCTTGGCCGAGGTTAGGAAAGAAGCCGAGAATACCCCACGTCTTTTCAATTATGCCACCGCTTACATAAATAAATGTTTTAGGGGTAAAAATAATAATCAGATTCTATGAAAACGGGGACCTTGTGACGGAGTGGGTAGCGCGTTGGTCAAATCCCCGTAATGAGCAACCCCGATATCAAGCAGTAGCTTAAATACTTTTCTAAGTTAAAATAGCCCTAATAATAGTTATTGCATCAAATTAAATAATAAGTCAGCCCTATTAGGCAAAATCTAATAATAAAAATAATCAAATATAGATGGATTAACCGTTGGGTTATCATTTAAAATTACGACAAATGGAGAAGTTTCAGCCCAACAATTTATAGGACGTAAAGTTCTGATTACTGCTATAATATAAGGAAAAACAAAATTTTATGTGAATAGTTCAGAACAACTAGTATTTGAGATTTTAATAATATGAATTTTATAAATATTTTTTTTTATTTTTCTCTTAGTTTTTTAGAATTCTGATTAAATTTTTTGGGAAATAATTTTATTAACGTCAATAATGGATTTTACAGTTATATAACTATTCAAAATATTTTTTCTATGCAAAAGTACTCTACTGGCTTATTGAAACAAATCCAAGTTATCTCTTGAAAAATAGTTCTTAATTTATGACAGCTTTTATGTAGATGTGAGTGTAAGTCACATATTGTTGTATTTCAACCAGCGACAAAACTCTTTACGATGACTTAAATACAACATTAGTAAAGGATGTTTAAGCAGCAGTAGTCTTCATCAACCAGGAGTTAGAATTACTTTCCAATAAAATTGTTGAACAAATACTTGAAAAATTTACTTAGATTTACATCCCCATAATTTAATGCAGTAAGTCCATATCGACTTTATTAGTACAGTTGAACCACCTTCTGAAACGTTGATTTATGCGTAACAACTTAACCTTATTCATATTCCACAACTAGTTAAAGTTTTGACGCTAAAAGATTAAGTGTGAAATGGGCTTTCACTAATATGTGCGTCGTGTAAACATAACAAAAGTCGAGATAATATGACGTCGATCACTTGTGTAGTGGGATCGTATTTATGATATTAGTCTAATTATCTAATTATGGGAGTTCACCTCGGCAACTCTTACTTGAGATGTGATACATGGATGTATTAACAAATCTGATTTTTACCTTCGGTTACATATAGTATAAATATATAATCTCTTAGAAAAGCATCCTCAGAAGAATGATTCTTTGTTGACGGAGTTACATTTCACGCAAAAATATTTATTTAACTTGGATATTGCTATTGCTTTAACGCGAATGAAATTGGCCTTGGTCGAAAATAGATCAGAATAAATAAATTTTCTATCTTTATTTAAACTAGAATTTATATGGTAGAATCGCTATGGTTCAATGTTTAAAATTTAAATAATTTATTTAATTATTTCAAGATATGTGATTATTATGCTAACATATTTTAGTGCGATTTAAAGATGGCATGACATCTTTCACCGTGGTTTTCGCCAAAATAATGATTTGTGAAAACAAAAATGTCTCTGATAGAATATAGCAAACCTAATTCAGTATAATGTACTATTTTTTATGTATTTTGAACACTATTCTTATCAATAAGATTTTGTCAAACTAGAACAGTGGGGGTTTATAGTTATATAATAAATAAGTTTATAGTAATATAATAAATGCTGTTAACGCCTTACTCTACCCTGGTCTAATGGAATAATATTATTATATTTTATTACCTTCATGTAGGATAGCAATAATAAACCCTCATCCCTTATTATATTATAGAATTTCGAAATATTAAATAATCCCTCTCATTGTCATGCATCCTGTCCCTAAATCTATCATCATACCATTAATCCATTTTTCTAAGAATCTCTAATCGTTGAATTGCACGTACCATGATATCACCGGTTAATACCTGATTGGCCAATCAGAAAAATCATATAAAATGGTAAAATCATTATAATTTAGTAATATCTAAAATTTCAACTAAAGTCTTAAATCAACACTCAAAGGAGAAATATCAAACATCATTTAACTAACATAAGTACTAATTCAAACTTCAACTAAGTAACATATCATCTATAGGTCTTAATATTTCATTCAAATATACAACAATTAAATATTTATTTATCATCTTTTAATCGGTCTGATATAGCCACTATCTAAATATATCTGGTCCTTCGAAAATATAAACGAAGTGAAGGTGTAATTGTTAATAGAGTTCGGCAGCATCTCGGTGGATCACGAAGTTCTATACATTTTTGCAAACTATCTTATCACAACATATTTTTGGTGAACAAATGCAGAATGCTAAAATTGTAATCTATTGGGGATAAAAAAATATTAAGTGAACAACTTATATAATACTTGCAATGACTGTTAATATGTATCAAGAATATTTATATAAAATCTATTTGATTTGTGTTAGCTGCCTCTTTTACTTATATACTACACTCTACTACATTCATAATCAGTTAGTTATGTTTTATACAATTTTTTATATAATTATCTTGAAATATGTTTTATGACCAGGTATATATATATATATATATATATATATATATATATATATATATTATATATCATCATTTCATCGCACTGATCATGTTTTAATGGGTATGAGGTGAATAATGATCTACATCAGACATAACGCCATCATCAGTCATTATTTTTCGGTGGAGTATAGGAAGGTTTCAGATCATGAATAATATTCAATATTGACGCAGATTTTTTAACTGTGCTACAAAATATTTCTTTTATAAGTATATCAATTACAACTTCTCATTATTCCTAAACATTATTCTTAATTACAGTTTAAAGCTGTATAATTAGAAATTAAACTAGTGGTGTATGACATCATGACTTGAGACAAATTACTGGAAGTTTCCGTACCGAATTAAAATTTTGTAAATCTGAATTATTTTCGATATTCGACAAAAAATTTTTTTGAAAATTTTGTTTTTTCTTTTTCCAAAAACGATCGTTTAGTCAACTAAACAGAAGGTTTTTTGAATTATTCAAATTTGATGCTTATTTCTCTCAAAAACTGCAATTTTTTCCACATTTTTGCCACAGCGCACTTAGCTCCGTATTTTCGAAACGGCTGGACCTGCCTTTGCCAAAAATAAATCAACACTTCTCCCCATCATTACTAATTAAATGGTTTTTGGATCATTCAAATCGGATGCTCCGTTCTATCAAAAACTCGATTTTTATTTTTGGCACTCTCTGCTCCGTAACTCCAAAACGGCTAGACCGACCTTTGCTAAAAACTAATCAGCACATCTCCTTATCCATAGGAATTTCTGAATCAATAAAATCGGTTGATCCTTTTTTGCACTATTTATCAAGTATTTTAAATTTTGAAATTTTCGAGAAATGGGTCAAAAATTTAAAATATTTAATAAATAAT